CCAAGAAAACGTGACTATTAAGTTCATATGTATGTTATTATATGCTATATTAAAACTGAATAAATTCTACTGTTTCAAAACGTATGAAGTAAACTATGTATAATTGTATATGTAAAAGCAAGACTGTTAAAACTGGTGCTTAGTATAGTCGTTTTGTTTATAGTTTATAGTATAGCATTAACACAATAATGATTTGAAAATGTCAAAACCCAAGTCCAAATTTTTAAATGTCATTTACATTTACATTTTAGATGTATCTTGCTTTTACGTGTATGTATTTAAAAAATCTACGCGAGTGTGTTCTAGCAAAACTTGAAGGTGTTAATGCATCCCTACTCATGGTGACAATAGTGTGGCAATTCAGTATAAGTACAGATGTAAGTTCAGAAAAGTAGAGTATAAACAAATATGTAAGTGATACATAAAAGAACAACTGTATAAAACGTTTCAAAGAAAATAATCAAATAAGTATTTAACCGACCTAAATGAATTTTTCTCAAAACTAGAGTCACTAACGGACGACCCAGCAGATCCCAAGCTGACTTTAGGAAATTTATCTCTCCTTTCAGGATGTCAATCATTAATTCATTATCAGATGCGATATAAAAACGACTCAAGTCAACAAACTAACGTAAATAATAACGTACATAATGTTAATATACAGTACTTTTTTTTTATAAGTAAAGAATCGTCATTTTCATTCATTTTGGAATAACGAGTAAATGGCCAAGTTTAATCAAATGACGATTCATATTTAAAATTTTGTATGGATGCATAAAACAAAGCAAGAACATTCGACTTACTTGTGGTGTAAACGCAAATATACGGTCCTTTAGAGAGTATAATTTACTTGTGCTCAATATACCGACATCTCGAGACTTACGCCCAGTTAACCCTAATTTGCGATTACGACCTAAATACGTGTATAAGTGGCTGAGTACTCGCGCCGGTTGTACTTCGATTGGCGCTACCTCTGCTATTGTTTGTACATGTAAATCATGTTCCGTCAATTTGTCACGTATTTCGTTATCCTCAGCTATGATTACCACTTGAACAACTACGTCAGGTTTTTTCTGAGCACCCAAACGTCGATTGAGAGGGTCTAGCTCACCAACTGCCAAAAAGCCCTGTGAAAAGAGATATACACTCGAGATTGCACACGCATGTTAAATTTGTGAAATACCTCCTGCAAAAGGCGGCCTAATATAAATAAAGATTGACCCCAAAGAAATGGACATCTGCCCACAACTTCACGTGGTTGAGAACCGGGATGTTGATACTCATTCGGTACTAAGTCAATTGGGACTGCGTAACTTTCTGGTATAAGCAAAGTTCCATCTTCTGATCGGACCATAATTTTCTAAATACATATACATTTACATATATTTTATAAATCTTAGAATTATTAAATAAATTCGTAATTTTTACCTCAAGGCGATCAGCGTACTCTTTAACGGACAATTTGTCATTTTGAAAAGAATGGAATAGTATAAGATAACAATAAAACAACGGCCACTCGCATTCAATGTTTTCAAACATGCGCAACTCCCATCGTTCGTAGTACAATCGGGTTGGGTCCTCTTTGGGCGTACGATAACCGTCCCGTAGGAAGCGTTTGCAGCCATACTTTCCTTGAAGTCGAGACAAAATTGCATCTTTTGTGTTACGGATCAGTTGGGGGTCATCAGCGGCAAAAGCCGGAAAACCTATTACGCATAGTAATCCTGAATCCAGTTCTTTGCTATTTGACTCGCGTGGCAGCATGGATTGCAAAACTGCTTGACATTTGTGCGCTTCATCTGCTAAAACATGTATAACACTTGCTGGGCCACCTCGAGCCCCAAATAAATCCAATTCGTTCATAGCTTCTAAAGCTGCTTTAGCCATGCCGATAGAACTAGCATTTAGTTCAGGTTCGCCTGAAGAGAGATATTCAATGACAAAAGTGTATATTTTATGCTTAAGTTTATTTTTTTTTACCGTGATTTGTTTTGTCGCCTCGCTCCCATATACCATAATCGGGAATGCAGTATGCAGACTCGATGTAAAAGACCAAGTTTTGTATAAAAGATACTTCGTCCAGAGAAAATACAATTTGCAATCCAGATGCTGTCATTTGCGCCAAAATCAAAAGATACAGCGAAACTGCATCAATTTGTAAATGACCCCATTCGCCGTCTCCGACCACAGGCTGCCCGTTTTTACTCGAGTATTTTGCGTGCAACGAGTCTAATGGATTTTGTGTCATCTTAAAGCGTTCCACCTTATCTTTTTGGTTCATCATTGCCATAAGCAAGCCTCGCATTAGTTTTACACAACTTTGCTCTAGTTCGTAGCATTTGGCACGATCCTCGTCTTGATCAGCAATCTTCTTATAAGCCATTGACAGACCCCATACAGCCAGAATACAATAGACATTGTCACGAATCCAAGCATGGCTGTTATTTTTGGAAGCTGGGAATAATCCAGTTACAGGTTCCTGGTGTGCCATGATCAGACGGTGAACAATACGCTGATAATAATCCAGGCGGACGCCTGAATTGCTTCGGGATCGCATTTTTCAAAATATCAATTCTTTTATAAGTGCAAGTGAGATCAAACTATTTGAAGAACAATATCTAGGGGTGCTTCGGATACTCTTGCAGCCCTCACTGCGATATCCTTATATAAGATTTGTTTTTCTGCGTGATTTTTATCTTAAAAGAAGTTTGCACTTGTTTATTTTCTAATATGCAGACTATAAAAGTATTTTCACATTGGTTAAATTAAGAAAATTAATACTTACTTTTTTAACTAAACCAATAAAAATATTGCCAGATGATTGCTGCAGCGTTTTCGCTATGCCCAAAATGTCACTCCAATGTCAAAGTAATCACTAATCAGCTGATTGGTAAATGTACCCTTGGTGTGAGAGATTTGTGATGGTTTGTGAAAAACGAATGCCGAGAAATCGCTAGTATTTATAATGTACTTTAAATATTTAAAGTTTTCAAGAAACAACAACAATAATAATAAACTTTGTCCGGCAGATCATTCCTTCCTTTGATATTTATAGAAAAAAAATGTGCGCCCTTTCACGCCCAATTAAGCAGGCGATACTGTACTTATGTTCCAAAGTAGATTCTGAGTGTTCATTCCAAGGCGAATTTATGCAAGGAGGTGTTGATGGCGAATTTAGATTTTCGTCGCGGTACTTATGAATGTCAAAATGATGTGTTTGTTGTAAACAAGGCGAATTCATATTACAACAAACACATCATTTTGACATTAAAAAGTACCGCGGCAAAAATCTAAATTCGCCATCAACACCACTTTGTATAAATTCGCCCTGGTTAATTCATTCCATAGAACAAGGCGTATTTATACAAGGTGGTGTTAATGGCAAATTTTGATTTTCGCCGCGGTACTTCGTAATGTCAAAATGATGTGTTTGTTGTAATATGAATTCGCCTTGTTCACACAAACAAGTACCGCGGCGATTTTGACAAAATCAAAGCGAATTTATACCGCCGCGAAATGAACGGATTCGATAACACCACCCAAGGCGAATTTATACTTTAAATTCGCCTTGGCTTTTTATTGGATTATCTCCCTTCTGCTCCCGCAACATTTTAGCGCAAATTTCACTTGTTTGCAATTTAAAGCAATCGTCAACTGTTTAATAATAAAGAACTTTTAGAATTTTTGGATTCTAAAACATTATTTTGTGGATTGCGATAACTTTGAATTTAATAAGAATAAGCTAAGGCCAGGGAGTTTGATCAGAAGAGGCAAGGAGCTAGCAGTTGTTTCCGAAAAGTATTTGCGAGTGAGTGCAAACGTTTGTATACAACGCATAATTTGGTTAAACAAAAAAAAAAAAATAAACAAAACTACCCCATACAAGAAGCAGCAGCAGTGTCTCCAATTTAGGGGGTTCTTGTCTATAAAAAACACTAAGCAAACTTCCAGGCCACAGTTTGTTTTCTATATATGTTCGAAAAATGTCGACAAATTTGTTGGATTCTAGTGATTGTGGTGATGGTCGAGATGGAAGGCGAGGAAATTATAAGGACATCTATGAATTGTTAGAGGAATTATGCAAAACTTTGGCAAGTCCTTCTGATAATCACAGTAAGTTGATCTTTTTAATGCTACTTTTCATGTATACTTACAATAAATAGTTACCTTATGCTCACATTTTCAATGGCAGATCTAACAAAGAACTATAAATTTATGTGTAGATTTAGCTATGATCTGAAAAATAAAACACTTGGAAGAAAAATTAATGCATGAAATTGTCAACAAGTAACGAGTTTCAGCTAAAGGGAGGCCCAGCAAGTGCGTAACTTCAACAGGATCTGTCCATAGGGACAGGGGCGTTAGCTGGGTGGGGTTCTGGGGGCATTCGAAGAGGTGCCGTGAGTCATGTGGCGACTCCCGCATGCCGGGTATTGGTTTGGCATATCCTCGTTTATTCTGCTCTGGTATGAGTTAAGCCTGCTGGAATAGCCAGAGCGAAGTTGGGCTATTGTGGTGAGGGTCTCCCGAAGCAGACAAAGTTCTGTCCCATCCACGTCAGGTGGTTGTGTGCCCAGTACGGCATTCACAGGTCGAGAGTCTATATAACTTGAGATTGACAGGCAGGGAGCTGTTGTGCTTCGCTGTTGATACTAATATTTTTTTTTTTCAAACCAATTAAAGGGGTTTTGAATTTGATATGCGCAATAAAATTAAATATTTTGTGCGAAGTGGCCTAATTTCTTATTCAACGCTGTATATGTATAACCAATCAAATTTGGGTTTCTTCAATCATAAGCAAAATCAATATTTTAAATTATTGAATAGAAATAAAATTATGTTAAATTGTTTACGTGCGTATTTTGAAGGTATG